TACTGTATTGAAAAGGATTGCATATAACTTAACAAATTCAAAAGTAAGACTAAGTGGACACTGTCCTGGCGTGACAACACAATAAATGCATTTCTGTCTTTCTCTTCATTGTGGACTTTGGAAGCTGAAATTTATATCTTTGTTACAGTATTGTCCGAACAAACAGCCCAGCAGGATTACACAAACACAGCGTGAGCAATTGGTGACCTTTGACCACCAACTCCACGGCGCAAGCTGCCTAATCAGACAATACGGCCAGTTCATCTAGCATCTGGTCGATAAAGTTACCAAGGTCAAATATCCGCTTCATCGCATTTTAATGGGAACTGCCGCTGCTATTGTTGAACCCAATTTCCTGCGTCGCAATAAAGAATGGCCTGTACTATGTGCTGTTAAAGGGTCTCGCCACGACATTAATTCTTCTGTCCTATACATTCACTGCTTCTTTTCCCCTCAAGCAATACCAACGTTTTACGTTTTTTACAGTTGAATGCAAATCCACGCGCGTTTTGCAGCGAGGAAAAATTCAGCAAGAGCTTTTGTGTTTTGAAGGCGCAAAAAGCAAACCTGCAGAGAAACAATTTTCGGGGTTTTGGCGAAGCCATAGCGGGGGGGGGGGGGGAAGAAATTTCTTTGTTAAAATAACAGCACAAAATTTTAATTGGTAATCAGCAAAAAATGATGCCTAACACCTTTCGTTTTATTTATTTCTCTGAATTCTATGACTCATTCTTATCTTTACAGTCTATTTTATTCTCTGAATGTGAGGGTGTAGCTCTTTTGCAGGGTTTTGGTTTTTTCGGGTTTTTTTTTTAACTCAAAATTAAATGTAGCAGTCATAACATTGTCTATCAACTTTGCTTGTGTAATCAATGGAAATAATAAACACAAAAACAGACAAATTATACCAAACCAAGGAATCTTTGTGACTCGTCAATAGTCCACGGCATCAACACTGATTCCCGGCCAATTGGGCACCTCATTTTAACTCATGAATATAGACATTCAAATGAGCATAAATATGACAAAGGGCCCAGCGAGTAAACACCCCTCCAAATGACCAAACTAAATTACACGTACTAACAGTGAAAGTTGGCTTATATGAAATAAAAAAAGGTGCGCCATGGTGCACCATGAGTGTATTTTTATCTAAGCAGTTAATAATTCAAAAAAGGGGTAGTATTTTAATCACAACCATTACCATGACTGCCCGGCTTATTTTTTTTTTATCATTTATCTGACGACCGCTTCGAAATACCAGCAACAGTAGGTAATTTTATTTCATACTGAAATAAAAATATTAAAAAAAAAAAAAGGACAAATACCATGAAACCTGAGTTTATAATTTCAATGCTTTAATGAACCGCGATAAATACACAATTACTACATTTTGTTTATCACAATATCGAGTCTTCAAGATTTTTCTTTGTCCTTTTTCTTTAGCCTGACGTAGTATAGGCCATCTCAGGGGGCATTTGTTATTTCAATTCAGTAACAATGGATGCACAAAAGCTTCACTCATGTATCCCAGCACAGCAAATGTATTGCCCTCTAAGATGGGTTCTATATACGCTTAAGTACGTAACGCCAGTCGCTCCGATGCTCCGATCGATACTAAATGAGCCATTTAAGAAACCTTTTTCTGACATCATACTTCTCAACCCAATTCTCAATCTTAGTCATCTGCCATAATAATGATATAACACTACATGTATAATGTTTCTGGATCATACTTAAAACAAAAATCTTACCTCAAATCTCTAAACGAATTTTGATCCTCTTGGCACAATATGCCACTATAATTCAATCGTCAGCACATGGCGACATAATTGCTATGCACATGTACACGCTGAGCGCATACCAACTGCCGTAAAGCCCACGGTATAGCTAGGCCTACAGCGCGCGGAACGTTGAAGGCACGCCCTGACCACGACACGAAAGGCCGTTTTACCCATTCCCCGCAATACGAAATTGCATTCCGTTCAGGGGCCCACGTCAACCGTAACTATAGCAACGCTGAATATGTAATGACCAATGAAAGACAGTCCCACCGCGTAGGCAGGCGCACTACTGAAGAAAAGCCAGTCAGCTTCAATGAAGCGGAGCACTGTTGGTATTACATGTACATATGCAAAACAACTTGGGATTGGATAGGTCATGCTTAACAGAAAACCACAACCAGGCCTACAATGCTGATTGCAGGCACACTTCCTGATTTTTGGTACAATATAAAGTGATGTACATTTTTCCAGCAACTACTGTCAGGGGAATGCTATGTTTGGTCAGACCTGAAGAAAGCGATCGCTTTTATGTTACTTTAAAGTCTATAATCCAGCTAATGTTAAATTGGAAAAGTAAATTATGTTACAAAACGAATTGTAGCTTTACTTCCTAATGTGAGATCAGTCGATCTTTCCGTACTGTGCGGTTGTAATTTGAATATTGTAACATTTCAAAATTATTGACCCTTTAATGTACGACTTATCTTTGAAATATGTATACCTTATCTTTTCAGCATAGACCTGATGTGACATTAATTTGTGCAAGCATTATCCAGAGTTGTTCTTGCCACACAGCTTTGGAATTGAAAGAACTGTCGGGTAGAGGTTGTTCATATTCATTGAGCCCTTACACAAAGCGCTTGCCTATATAATACATACATGTAACTGCAGGTGTACGTATAGCTTTTGACCTGCCTGGTTCTTTGTTATTTTGGACAAAGCGCCTAGGCTACAGCATGTAGCTTGGGTAGAATCGATTTATGCATTCATAACGTACAGCAGTAATTTTGTTCCGCAGTTCATCGATCTATATTGAGTATTTAAACGTTAGTGCTAACAAAACAAAGCCATGGGGCCTACATGCAAAATAAGATATAGTTTGGTATGTCCTATTTGGACCATTCCATATCAATCTATTAAGGAAATAACGCATTGTAAAATGGAATAGTCCATAGATATTGCAAAATGCGAAGTCTTTCTTACGAAGTATGAAACGCAACCTTTCTGGGTAAATTTCAACCTCAATCTCAAAAGTGGTAAATTCGCAATAATCGAGTCCATAAAACAGCTTTATTTTTTTCAGGATTACATTTCGGTTTTTTTTTTCATTTTAGGAGTTGTGATTTTAGCCGGCTCTTGCGGCGGGGAAAATAACTTTGTTATAGTTATTATTCGCTCTTTGCAAAAGCGATACCAATTTACAAAACGTCAGATCGCTACGCTTTTTGAGTGCTGGATCGAAGTGTTAGAGGTCTATTCGGGTAACCTTAGCCGTAAGGTAATTTTCGCCGACCTAGCTGTAACACCTTCTTGAATCTTGATGCTTCCAGGTCAACAAATTAATTGCATGATCAGGCCAATTTGCCTCTAAAAACATTGCCTACTGAAAAATTAATCGCACAAATTAAAGTGGGACACCAATGAGGAATAGTATTATCTTAGGCAAAAACATTACACATAATTGTGTACATGTATAACTCTATGTGTTCACGGACAAAATACCTATCTCAGACGTTTTGATTGTTTTATTTGGCCGAAATGAAAAAAAGAAAAGTATATTTTGACAAAAACAATGACTTGTTCCTTACTAGAGTTCCTTTAATAAATTAATTACGTGCATACAATTGAAGGTACCCTTTTAAATACACAACGTTAGTAGTAATACCAATACAGCTATAATAAGAATAAAAAGTAAAACAAAAATGCAATTGGTTCACTACCTTCCTACACCTGGATCATTTTGCCGGACGTTACTGGATCACAATTAGGTTCTTGGCCTTCAGATATACTTTTTTAATTAATGTTAGAATCACTTCTGGCTAATTTTTTTTATGTTGCCTCCAAATGTTGATATCTGGGTTTTTTTGTTATAGTGAATTTTTGTTTTGGTTTGTGTGTGATAACTTGCATGGTGATTTAATTTTTATATTGTTCAGCGCTTTCTTATGTTTGATATAAAAACGAATTGCGCTTTAGAAATATATAAATGAGTCAGTCCACAGAACTTTTTCCCAACTTTTAAAAGGATATACCATGTCGATCTGTTGTACGGTATTTCTATTCCCTCTTTTCATACTAGCTGGAACATAATTGTCCAAATATTCTTTCCGCTATATGTTGTAAATACTTTGAGTCTTTTGAGACATTCATAATTCGTAAATTTGTAAGGGCAATTACTTTGAACTTAAAAAGTGTCTTATGATGTTTTTGACCACTCAATATGGCGTCATTGCTGTTTAACCACTTAACAATTTAGGGGTTTTGTGTTCAACTTGTGAACACGAATTAGAAAAAAACACCATGGTCAAAAACTGGTGTAATGAAAAAAGAATAAAAGAAAAGAACAAAACTGAAAATTTACCACGGCTTACATTTAAAAAACCTGGCAATTATGCTGAAGCAGTGCAACACTGAAGTTTGTGTATGGTTTAGATCGCATCAGAAGAAAATGAAAAAGGCCCCGTTCAAAACAACCTTTAAATAGGGATCCAACATTGAAGAGAAAGTTACTGGGGTGACTACACGGAAATGGAGCGACATGGAGAATAACCTTCAGGGAAAATAAGTACATTATAAACCCCACACAGGACACTGACTACATGTACATGTGGTACAGTTCTTTTGTTATATACAGCTGTGATTTATTCCATCAGGAAGCTTGAAGGAATATCCAAAGGGCAAATGTGACTTCCTGATACCTACCCACAAACGAACCATAGAGCAGACCAGGGTACAGCTTATTTTCTTCAGAGCTGCACGTCCTGGCTGCACTTTAACCCATGCCCTATTCTCGATCTCTCAGGTCACCTGTGTCATATGTCAACACGTACACCCAACTCAGTGTCACACTGCTTCAAACTTTATGAGGCAATTGGTAAGATCGAAATGTTTTTACTAAATGTTTTTTTGGGAGTTGTACATTTACTTACACTGTCTCATTTTCACACAATGAGTCCTACACACACCCATGTCAAAATGTAAAATTACACTGGAACTTACCGCCAACATGACCGCTCAAAGACCGTTTCTTTGTCCTCTTATCTTGGTGAATTGACAATGCTTTCCGTAAACAGTGTGTGCACGTACGTTAGAACGTAGAGCTAGTGTGATCGCTGTGTGAATAAGCCAGCCGGCCACAAGCACAGGGTTCGCGCGCTCCTGTTTATAGTGTATAAATCGTGACGTACGTGATAAGCATGATCAATAATGGTGCAGTGAAATACTACCACACAATGACCCGGTTGGCCGACGTACCTACGTGTATGGTCTGCGTGGTGCAGGCGGGGTTGAGTTCCGCGGATATGAAGTTGTAGCCATAGTAACGCTGCATACATAATGAGCACTGGCTCAAGGGTTGAGATGTGCGCTGTATTGCGTAATACGTTGAGGACGCGTACCATATCCACGTACCATATGGTCCACCACGCATAGTTAAAACTGATCTTCATGCATATGTGACTACATCTTGCATTTTCTCCACAAGTCTTGGGTCTCAAGACTTGCTTGTTTTTGCATGTTGTAGACCTACTCAGCAGCTTTCAAACAACGTAGTATAATTAGTAGGGCTTTCAGACTTATCTTAATGATTATAGTCCTGTACCAAGATGCTCAGTGGAGTGAGCATATCATAACGGCATGTAAGACAGCTAGTGCGCCTGCTTGCATAATCCTTGGAAATTCGTAGATAGCGGTTTAACTTTTTCTGTACTTTCTCACCAGGCTTTCATAGGGAACCAATCAGCGGGCACGAAATGATTTTTAGTCAGTCGCGCGCTCTACGTACGTACTCCGGTGACTAATTAAGCAACGCTAATTAGATATACAACGCAGTATACCAGTGACTAGTGCGCGATCGACTACCGGTACCAAATTGGAAGCCGCCGTTTCGCTCGTATAAGATATTAATATTTGCACCAACGGTCTAATTTACATAAAATGGCCACGCCCAATTGCTGTAAATTTACCAAGACGTTAGTGCGAGATATTAAAAAATTAAACTTGTGCAAGGGCGCTCTGCATATATCGCTATCATAGTTGGGCCAAGACAATAAAGATTGTGATGAGATCGATCAGCATAACTTAAATTCTTCATCTGAAAGGTATCTTATTGGTCTTATTAGTATAGTTTGAAATCACTCTTGTCAGCAAACGGTTGGCAATATGATATGCTGGTTGTTCCACAATGGTGGCGTAACAACAGGGGCATGGGGGAGGGGTGGGTCGGGGGAGGGGGGCGGGACTGTACGTTTCAGCCGCACTTTCCATTGCGCATGTGCAACTTCGAGGTTTTTTTTGCATACGTAATTAGGGTTGCCGAACAATGATGAGACTCAAGAAGATATCTTTGAACATTTTATCCTTTATAGACCCATTTAAGTTGGCATCGAGCTGTTGTTATTGTATCATTAATAATAGTTCAATCACTGTATATTTGTCCAGGAAATGTTTAAAAATATCTTCAAAGAACTTAGAAACAGTGATTTCAGGGAAAAAACTGTGTTTTCTCAGAATTCGTTTGTTTACAGGAATATAATTTCAGAGGTTTCCCCAACATTCATACTTGTACATAACAGTAAAGGGGGATTATCAAGTAATCAGATTTGTGAACAAGTTTTCGCTAGATTGACCGCGTTTAAATATTTTCCAAAACTGAGCAACATATATTTTTTGTTGCAATTAATGAATACTTAGGCCTAATCAAATTAGGTTTTGCCCTTCACCGACGACGTATACTCAGTGTGTTACCTCCCGAGTTAAAGTTGGAAAAAATCACTCGGGTGGGACTCGAACCCACGACCTCCTGCTTTCTAGTGCAGATGTCTTACCAATCGACCACCGAGCTAACGGGATCGGTTGGCTGGTTCAAATCTGATGTACATATAGCAGCGGGTACCGCATTAACTATTCATAAGATAGAATTTTTCGTCGGGGTGATGTAAATCAAATTAGGTTTTGCACTTCACCGACGTATAAACACTGTATACTTAGTGTGTTACCTCCCGAGTGAAAGTTGGAAAGTTGTTGCGTAAAATTTCGACGTAAAATAAAATACTTTAAGTAACGCTAAATGCCACAAAATTTTATCACCGATATTCAAATATTTTCTTCATGAAATCACAATTAAGGTTTTTAGCCCCATTTTGCTCTTCAGATGTTGCTCTCAAAATATATTAACCACGATCTCAGATATTAGTCAGGTTTGTTGGGGTCTGGTACCACGTATCGCAAGCATTCCAAAAACATATAGTAGTCTAAAACAATATACACTTTTAAGTCGGCGTTTAAAATTTCTCATTTTTTTTTTTACAAAACACAAAAATAGAGCGAAAAGAAAACTATTGCGTGTAAAAAGAAATTGCCTCGTGAGGTTTTATGTTCAGTGTTTTATTGCATTGTGAAAACTTTAAATGTCTAGAAATCTTAGCGAAAAAAGTGCCGCATAAACGATCAAAACTCATAATTTATTTGTACCTTAGCAACCACTTTACGAAGGAAAAATCACCACATGGAATTTTTTCCCCGACAGGAATTTCTAGCCATAGTTTTTTTTAGGGCTTAATACAAAACAAATTAAACCAAAAATCTTTTTAAATTGCGCGCGTAAAACAGTTAACTTCTTGTCATCTAACAAAAGCCAGAAGTGCCTGGTTGCCATGGGCCGATTTCGTATGGTTTCCGGGGGAGCAGTCAAGTTCCCACCTGTAGATACATTATAACATCGCACGTTCTATAGGACTCTTACGTACATTAGGGGGGGGGGTGATTCGAAGTTTGACCAATGTACGTCTCGATATGCCCTTTATCGGACATATCGGACGATAGCCATGTGTAAATGGCAACTTAGACCAGCAAAGTGAACTGTTGCGCCTATAGGGGAGGCTTCAGCAAATCTTGTTCTTAAGTGAAAGGGCGGTAGTCGGGCCCGTTTGGCACAGCAAACAGTACGTCACTTTTGAAACATTCAAAAACTAGACATTATGTTTGCATCCGTAATCATTTTGGCATTTCAGATAATCATTCATTCTTTACCTTTAAGCTAATGTGCGCATGTTCAGAATGATGTAAACAATAGAAAAGGATCGATATGTTTGCTGCCACCAAGCGTCTCAAAAGTCTCCCATTGACCAATCAATGCGCAGGGTCGCATGAAATGTGCATGCTCACATATACCACACGTTTGCTTCGGTTTGGTTTGGTTTGGTTTGGTTTGGTTTATTATCCGGGTGATGTAACAAAATAACATTCACAATAAAATTCATAGAAACGTATGTAACAACAATTGTACAATGGGTAAAACGAGTCCAATGGCAAACTTGCTAATCAAGTCTAGTCCTTGACACACTGTCACTGCGGGTGCATTCAAAAACAGACAAATAAGCAATAATGACTGGCTTTCCGCATGTCCATATAAAACTTCCACGGGATATACCAGGGAAGCTGGCCCCTTTGAAAAACGGATGATAGGCCTATATACTCACACTAATAGCACCTGAGGCGACACAGAGGATGCTATGCACCCCGAAGGAGCTAAAAAGGAGATACTCGGGCCCACAGCAGTCAGCAATCGAATTGTTATATCGTGCCAATAAACTAAACAGAAAAAGCATGCAACTTACTATACTTAATAATTATAGCAACTTACTAATTATAGTACCCACAAGAGACGATATAACAATACTTATTATACTTACCATCGTGCCAATAAACTAAACAGATAAAGGCTTGCAACTTACTATGCAAGAAATAAATTTAATCAGTGCGGTGTAATAACTGCCGGAAAATCAGACTTCTATGAAAATCGGACTCATTTACCCTTTTATTGGTTAAACCCTCTCATGTGGCCGGTCACATCCTAATTATCTTCGCTTAGGCATGCGCAATATTACCAATGAGTCCGTATTTCTTAGAAACCTAAATTCACGCTACACTGGCCCAACACCGTACGCCAGAGCAACGCATCTATACGTACGTAATTTAGATACAACGCAATGTATATGAGGTAAGTGGGGTAAACGATTAACGATCTACTTTAAAGAGGTTGTGGAATGCTCGAAGACATTATCGTCATTTTTAGGGTATATGTAGCCTAAGGTGTGATAAAATAAAAACGTCTATTGTGTCTGTCATGAAATGAGTACAAAAGGTACTTTTGAGAGCTGTTTTTCAGGTCCTGTTTCGACCCAGACGTGCAATTTGTGTAAAAGTCGTCGTTGGGGCAGCAACCAAACATAGTAAATCGTGACGTAATAAACAGGACTCCTGATGCAGCGTAGTATAAACGCTTTTGATCGTCCAACCCATTGCGAAGAGATCCAAGTGGCTGGTTGGCGGGGGACAGAGACAGACATGACAGAGATGGAAAAGGGCTCCGGCGAGCCGAGAGGAATGTGATAAGAAACAATCTGCAGCAAGTTAGTAATTGACTGAACAAGACATTAGCTGCTTCAGATAGTTCTAGGATGCATCTTTAAAGTATACGTGTAGATATTCAGATAAAAATAAAGGATGTTAATTACAGTCTGTGGTAGAATGAGACTAAATTTGATAAGATATCATGCATTTTTGTTAAAGACAATTGGCAAACCAACTTTGACGTCGCGTAAACCTGCCCGTGAAAAGATTTTTTTTTCCAGGTATTTAATGTGTGGAAATATCTTCAGATTACAGATTATCTTCATGTCAGTTAATTCCAAGAGATTTTCTTTTTTGGAGTACAAGTATCTGTGCTAGACAAGTGGCTCGAAATGGTATAGAACCATAATATGGAACACTCTGTATAGAAGCTAGCTTATTGTTGATGAGACTTACATCCCTGGCGCATATTCAGTTAATGATAAACTCTAGAGAGTAAGATATTACTAGCTTGGTGTTTCTAATTGCAATGCATTACAAACATTGCAACAGGTAATTATGGTATACAAGCTCGGTCTGTACACATTGACGTAATTTTGATTTAAGTCTTCTAGGTTTGAAATGCAAAGAAATAAGAAGTTTCTTGCTGCTTGTGGAATCATTATTCTAGAAATATCCAAAAAAGAGACCATATTCTATGACTTGTCATTACATGATAAAATCTGCATAGCTTGGAGTAACGAAACCTGGTTTTGTTAAATACATACTTGGACCCAGAAATACAAATTCCAGAATTGTATAAATTGTTGTTATGATTATTGTCATTGGAAATTCCGATTTATTAAAGTAAATTTTTTTCTTTTGAGAACTTATACAATTATTGTTT